ATTATTTATTTTAATAATTAATATTATATAATATTTTTAAAATAATAATTAATAATTAATAAAATTTATCATAAGTCATTTATAATATTTTTAAAAAATAAATAATTAAATATTAAAATAACTTTTAACAATAATTACAATACAATTCAATACAACTACAGTACTTCACTACAATCTCAAACGCAACACCCACCCTTCACCCTCTGCTCCGCATGTTCTGCCAATTTGTGACTCCAACCATGTAAGTATCCATATTTTGACTTGATTGTTATTTTGGGGTGGTTTTATATAGAAATTTGGTTTTGGATTCGGGGTACGTATGGGTCACTGAAATTGAGCCTCCAAGTAAACTAACAAAATCGTGGCTAATGCCTGTATTTGGAACATTTATATTTCTTTATTCATTTGATTTTTTTTTTTTTTGCTGATGAATTACAAGTAATAGCTGTTGATTTTGTTGCCTTTATTTTTTTTATTATTATCTATACTTTGACACTTTAAAATTAATATTATTCACCCACAATGATAATATAATATGCATTTCAAGTTCTTAAGCTAAAAGTTTCACAACTGCCTTTCAAAATGTTTGCCTCTTGCGGTGCTTATCTTCTTCTTTTTTTTTCTTTTTTTTTTTTTCTTGATAGGATAGAGGCAAATGGTTCAACCGGTGGGGGAGGAGGGTAGGGGGGTGGGGAGAGAGATGCCATAATTTTGAACCTTGCTATCGGGGGAGGAAGTTTTTTACAATTAGATAGATGGTCAATGGACCTGAAGGCCTTCCTCTTATCTTCTTATGTATTGTGATTTGTTAATAAAAAAAATTCTATGGTGGTGCCATGAAATGCTTTTATTGACTGCTATCAGAATTTCATGTACTTTCCTTAACTAATTATTTCCTCGTACCATTGCTGTGTTAATGCTTCCAAAGGAACTCAATCTTAAAATGTACAATAAACTCAAGGCGAATCATGTAAATGAGCCCTTGAACATGTCAAGAGGTGTCAAAAAAGCCCTTCAGCTGAAATCAGTAGCAAATGACCCCTTAAATTCATGACTGGTGGTAAATCAATCCTTATTTAATGGCCGTGTCAATATTCCGTTAAAAATTAACGGTTCTTTAGTGTAAATGGATTCCACAACTTAAACGCAATGTGACCAATCCAAGTCTGACATGCCTCCGCATGTCATTAAATCATTAATATTTTTTAATTTTTTTAAATATTCAATTAAGATTTAATTATTGTAATTTTTTATACATTAAAATTTAGTTACTTATTATAGAAATTAATTAGATTAATTAAATCTCAACTGCCACTTTATCAAGAAAATAAGAATAAAAAATCTTATGTATTATAGGATGGTTCTACAACTAAATAACATCTCTTTTTATTCAAAAAAAATTAGCTCAATTTAAAAATTAAAAGGAGGTAATTGTAAATTTAAAATAAAATAAAAAAGTAGTTTGAAAGAAGAGAAATTGAGAAGTATGAAATTACATAAACTAATTTTTTTATATAAATTAATTATTAAAAGGTATATTAATTACACCTAAATTAAATAAATTATTATCGAATTTATTCATCTTGTTTTTTACCACTTATTCTTTTAA